CAAACGTTTGCCAAAAGAATCTACCATGTGTGGAATTCTTGAATTATTTCTTGTTCTATGTAATTGCATTCTTCAATTATTAAAAAAAATTAAATCATGATTTCCCTGTGGCAGATGGTATGAGGCTCTACTAGGGTTTCATATTTCTTTGTGGAAGACAAATTACTTGAAGACTGTCCAGAGATAAACACGGTCAGCCAGTGTGGCTTTAGGCAAATCGATTTTTGCACTGAGTTATCTCTGAAAGATGATTATAAATGTTCAGTGGTTTATTGTTTAGAGAAAGCATAGAAAGTTCTATTGTGTGTCCAAATAGGTATTTTAAAAATGATTCAGAAATTAATTGGATATTCTGATTTGGAGTGTCTTGGTGAAGAGACTTACTTAGGTGACTGTTGTTTTGTGGAGGCCAAAGTGAGGCACAGGAAAACTGTATTTCTTTCAGGAAATAGAATTTTATCCTTTTTCTTCTCTGATATCCTTTTTTTTCTTTATTGCTGGCTGCTAATGCCTTATGGTGTAACATTTTTACAAATGTATGCTTTGTTTTGGTTGTGTTTTATTTGGTCTTTAGTGTCTTAAGTTTACTGTTGCTTGAGCAAGATTTCCAAAGAAAAGATAGCGCAGTTTGGAAGCGCAGTGGTCAAAGAGCAGGCCAGAGATTTCCTTCATGTGGAATTGTACTCTCATTAGATTGGGAGGCTGAGGAAAGATGTTAAAAGACACACCAAAGGGGAAAGTAAGAAGAGCAGCACTGAGGAATCCTAACTCGGATGTTAGGTGCATAGGAGGATGGAACAAAGAAAGCTGCAGTGAGTGGGGAAGAAAGCAATAAAAGAGAATAAAACCCCCTTGATGCCTATGATAAAATGGGTATTATTTAAAACTAGACAAATATCAAAGGAGAAATGTTAGTGAAAGGAATTGACATTGCAGAATGTGAACAGACTGAGCAGATAACATGACAGCCAAATCACCGTGTACTGGCTACTGGTGCATGGAGAAAATGAAGGCAAAAGCCCCCTGGTACCAAACTGTTGGTGAGAAACTTATGATAGCACTGATCAAAATGTTTTCTCTTAGACTAATTCTCCCACAGTTAATTTTTGACCAGCAGATGGTGCACTTGCACAACTAATGCTTTTTCATCTCTTAATGCTTGAAGATAGTGCTAAGAAAGGATCTTTTTGATTCTCTTTGAAAATAGAGGTTGTTCTTATGTCTTCATTCAGTTTTCTTTAGGATTGTCATTATTTGGGGTAAGGAGATGAATACAAGTTGCTGACATTTTGAGCACAGTACAGGAGAAAGGGAATGGTGGGATTAAATTCTCACAGCAATGTATTTGTGAGAAACAAAACAAATGCTTACTTTTTTACAAAAGGCACTCGATAGAAAAGCCTGTGTCATAGATGTTGCATTTAATACAGAAGGGGAAATAGCTGTCAGAATTTGGTAGAGAACCACCATGAACTTAGTGAAAGCGTCATTTATGTGTGTTCTTGCGCCCTCAAAATTAGTAAGAAATACTGCTGTGCTGTAAATCTGTATTCTTCACTATAAAAGTTTACCAATTACGTTTTCTTTTCCACATGGTGATGGTCAATTTTATACTGAGACTCTATATCTGAAGCATGGTGAAGCCTTAATTTTTGCTATTTATATTATTTGAGAAACATTATTTTTATTTGTGGAATCCAGCACCTTGCTGGCATTGTGCCAGAGAGATCATAGGTCTTGTAATATTGTCTTTTTCTAGACCACAGAATGATAAGTTCTGAGGATTTTGAAAGCTGGGGCAAAGTTATACAGCTTGTGTTACATGGAACAGAAAAAGACTCCACAAAAGGAACAAAAACCCCAAACCAAACTGGAACAAATCTATAAATGCAAGCTTTGAAATCTGACAACTACCATCAACGAATCAAAGTTTATCTTTGCCATATTTAGATTATTCTAGAATTTCTTCTAGTAAAGACATTTACCTATTTAAAATGTCTTTATGGTTATTTGACAGCTTTGAATTCAGATTAGGTCTTTAAGGAGATAGCCTGTAAGAGCACATGTTTTGTGCACTCTATAGAGCTTTACAGAAAACAAATTTGAGCTAGCTGAGTGTTTGCTTTCAGTATTACTGTTATATGCATTGCATTTAATTGGAGTGCTTTGTAGGAGAAGGCAATGTAGGTGACTCAAGAAGAAGCATAACCCTTGCATGGACTGACTGGGGCAGAAAAGAACCTTCCTGTGTTCAAAAGAAGTTCCAAAGAATAGTGATTGATTTCGTGTTTATCGTGAGTCATAAAACACATCTACCTGCACTGCTGTTAATGGCATCTGCTATTCAGTAAAGAAAAGCCAAGTTTGGAAGAAGCACGTATAAATGGCATTTTAGGGTAACAGTGGGTTATTTTTGCTAAATTGTAGGTACACCTGTAATGTGATATTTACTTTAGCAACAGATGTACTTGAATTTCCTGCTATATGCCTTGACAGAGTAGCTAACTTGATTTTAAAGCATACCTTGTCAATATATGCAGACTTTGGATTTGAAATGAGTGAAGGATGGCATTTGAGTTGTAGCTAAACCTAAGGCTGCAGGAGAGCAACAGGCATAAGCAAGCCAACAGTTTCTGGGGAGCATCAGTAACAACTTCCTGACCAAAGCTGTCTGCTGGACCTCTTACTCACAAACAAGAAAGGACTTGTTGCAGATGTGAAAGTCGAGGGAGCCTTGGCTGTGATGACCATGAGATGGTGGGATTCAGGATCCTAAGGGGAGGTGTCAAGATGGAAAGCAGAACCACAGCCCTGGCTGTCAGAAGAGCAGACTTTGGCCTCTTCAGTGATATGCTTGGAAGAGTCCCAATAGATAAGGCCCTGGAGGAAGGAAGAGTCCAAGAAAGCTGGTTGGTGTTTCACCTCCCCTAAGATCAAGAGTGGTCCTCCTCCCAGAAGAAAGTCAGGCAAATATACCAGAGGTCTGCATGGATGAGCAAGGAGCTTCCAACAAAGCTAGAAGCACTTTGTGGAGAGCTATAGTAGGTGGCAAAGAGCCACATGAGAAGTTTGTGGGGGATGGTCTCCTATGGGAGGGACCCCGTGTTGAAGCAGGGGAAGAATGTCACAAGCCTTCCTCCTGAGAAGGAAGAAGCAGTAGAGACAATGGGGGATCAGCTGAAAACAACGTTCATTCCCTGTTCCCCTGTGCTGCTTGTGTGGGAGTGGGAAATGGAGGTGGGGGGAATGGGGGTCAGGTAGAGAATTCAGGAGTGAAATTGAGGCAGGCCTACTCTTTGCTGCGTTATAAACTGGATGGTCAGGCCCAGAGAGTGGCATTCAATGGAGTTAAATCCAGCTGGGGACCAGTCACAGGCAGTGTTCCAAGGGCTCAGTATTGTGGCCAGTCCTGCTTTACAACTTCACTGATGATCAGGGTGAGGGGATCGAGTGCATCCTAGTCTGAGCATGACACAAAGTTGGGTGGGAGTGTTGATCTATAGATATGGCCCTTAGTGACGTGGTTTAGTAGTGGCCTTGGCATTGCCAAGTTAATGATTGTTCTCAATGATCTTAAAGGACTTTTCCAACCTAAATGATTCTATGATGTTCTCTCTCTGTGATCTGCTTATAGATGAGATCAATGTGAGCAGTCATTAAGGTGTTTGGTTCTAGTGTGCATTTCCAAAGAATCTACCTGCACATCCCTCAAAAGGGTGCTAAAAAAGCAATGGTTATGTCCTTCAAAATCCTGACAAGTAAAACCAGATCAAATAAGGAGGACTGTGTTTCCTAATCTGTGTGTCTATGGTGCAGTGATTCTGTTTGTGGCATTTTTCTTTCTGTATTTTAGGGACTTTGAAGGTGCAGTGAAAATTGGGCAGTTTTTTTATTCTATTCATTGGTGTGAGAAAGTGGTTGTTCGGAGATAGGACTGAGTTACTAAGCACAAATTTTTCTGTATGTTTCTCGTACTCCTTTTCACTCCATCTTTTAATTAGCTTTTTTTTACTCTTCTTCATTATTCGAGCTCTTGCAGTCAGTCATAAGGGCTTTTTAATCCTACTTGTATAACAGATGTCTTGTTTGCCAGATTAATATTGAAATGAAACCACGAGATAATCACAGGAAAAATTAAACACTGGAAAAGGATTGTGTGTAATAATGTATACATACAGAAATCATGTTCATAAAAATAGAATGCATCACAGTGTTGTCTGATTTTTTGAAGCAAAAAGCAAAAATAGTATCATGTCACTTTTATAAGTACTTTAAAAAAAAGAAATTAATTTAAAAATCCTTGTATTTGGAGCACATTTTGTTCTTACATGCAAAGAGGTAATCGCTTACAACCTTGAGCTTCACTTTTTACCGATTTTCTGAGATCTGTGTTGTTCTTTGTATTTTTGAGAAAACAATGGGTCAGCTCCTTCCAAACTGTGCCAGTGTTAAGATGAGAGCTGATTCTCAAGTGTCCTCTTTTTTCTCCAAATCGTAGTAAAAGCAGATTCAAAGGCTTTTAATAGTAATAAACATTCTTGATAGTAATTTACAGTAAGTTTGAATCGTCTTCAAAATTAGCAAAGATTGCAATAGTGTTGTTCTCTATAAACTGCTGTATACCTTAAAATACTTCTCTAAGGACATACAAGGTAAGAGTAATGTGTGTAGCAATGACCATAGGTGTTAAGGTGTTTCAAGCCTGTTTGCTATCTTAAAGAAAGAAAAATGTTATTTTCTAGCTTCTTTTTCCAGATACTGTACTGTATAGTACAGTTGTCTGTGATGATTGGTATTCTTTAAAGACTTTGCCATCATAAATATGAATAAATTAGAAATAGACTCTTTACACATTCGCTTGAAATTATTATAATATTCTGATAGTATTGTGTTATTCTGAGCAGAATAAATATTTGATATTTTCCTAAAATTGAATAGATTATGACGTCTAAATGTATTTGTATTTGTAAGAAACTACCAGCTATACCTCGTGTTCAGGTAATATGTGTACTGGTGTTCTAACAATGGTAACATAACCTGCTAAAATACACTTTAATTTTGAGAAGTATTGTTATGTATTGACCTGTTAGACTGCTCTTTTACAGTACACTTTTTGAGTGGGCATTGCTGTTGTTAAGTCTAAAGCCACTTATATGTCTTTTGGAAAAGTTAGAATCAATGTTTTATTTAAAATTTAATGTAAACATTTTACTTAATATTTTGGAATATTAAAAAAAGAAACCTCTGTGAGGTGAAGTAACATCTTTAGTAATACTTTGTAGTAATTACTTCTAACAATTCAGGCATAAATTGATTTATTGTTTTAAGTTCCAGGAATGTAGGGGGTGAAATGAATCAATGTGATTTTAGTGTTTCACTGGTTTCAGCAAACGTTTTCTTTTGATCTAAGCATACTTGTGAAAATAGTCTTAGGGAAAAGGAAATAGCTTATGTATCTTGAGTGTAGAAGTTGCAGATTGTTTATTTGGTATGTTTGGTAATTTGAAGCAAGCTATTTGTCCTAGGATAGATCTCCATGGGAGGATTTGGTTATGTTTCAGGACAAACCAATAGCAGCTTGCTTGGTTACTGGTTGTGGCTTGACTTAATAGAATGAGAAAAGATGTATTAAATTTTCATTGCTTCTTGTTTTAGCCTGTATTCTTACTTTCCCAGCTGCCCCACTATTGAATGTCATCATGTTTCTTAGTCTTAATCGGCTGCATCAGGGGTGCAATTTGCCGTCAATTCATTCCCCTATGATTCCCAGATTACCAGAACTGTAGAGGGTTCAGTGAAGGGTGTGCAGAGCAGCTCATGGTTAAGGGTGTGCTGAGGGGCAGTCTTCCTAATAAAACTTGTCTGAATTGAGTTTTTAATAGTTTCGATTATATTTTTTGCTTTTCTGACTGCTTGAACACCAGCTAATGTCTTCCCCGAAGGTGCTAATAATTGCTGTTATAATGAACTCTAATCTTTTTCTCTTCAGTTTTGTAGCTTTGATCTTGGTTATACTGTCTATTACATGCTGTATTACCTGAAATTAGAGTTGCACTTTGTGTTTGAATCTGAAATAAAACAAAAACTACATGCATTGCTTTCTGAATAACTTTTAATATCCAAATTTTATAGACAATAATGTAAGGAAACAGCTTAAATCCCATGAAATCAATAAATTTCTTCTGTGGTGTATTGCTTTTGCGGTATATCATTGTGATTAGAAATACATCTGAAGTGATGCAATCATTTTAGTTTTTACACTTTTCAGAGACATGAGAAGTTTATGCATGTAAAATAAATTTTAAAATCATCTTTCATATGATTTGGTATTACTATGTAAGTAATAAAAAAGCATAGATAGGCCCAGTGAAATTTAGTAGCTTCCAGCTCTCAACTCATCAAAGATGTTGTCTGCAGCTGTTATTTCAATTATGTATGGTGTTTCAATCCATGGTCGATTTCAGGTATTAACTGTAAACCAGATATGAACTTCCTTGTGCTTTTGCTTTGAACATCTCAGGTTTATAACCTGACCTAAAACTTACTAAGGTCAAGTGAATTTTTCTTTGAGTAACTTCAGCTTTTTCCTAAAGTACTTACAAATTTTTATGAACAGTCTTTTGAAGGGCTAGATTAGGTGCATATCCTTTTGACTGAGACTATTAGATAAAATTACACTGCTTTCTAAATTCACTAATATATTTATTATGTGTCTTTTTTAGGGTGTTGATGAATGGAACATTGCCCATCTTAATACAATATTGGATGTTGTAGAAGAAGAGTGTGGAATTTCTATTGAGGGTGTAAATACACCATATCTGTATTTTGGCATGTGGAAAACAACATTTGCATGGCACGTTGAAGACATGGATCTCTACAGTATTAATTATATCCATTTCGGGGAGCCAAAGTCATGGCAAGTTTAAATTTTTATTAAAGATGATATCTTTTTCAGCTGACGAAGCCAAACAGTTGATTCACAATGGTAAAGTTTACTGAAAAGCTAAGATAGTAGTTTTGTGAGGTTTTTTTAAGCTCAGAATGCTATGAAATATGTGAGATTGGTGATGTAAAGAACATCACAGCAGTGCATTCTTTGATTTTAAAGGAAAAGGTAGATAAGTACATAAGGCTTATTTGAGTTCAACAGAAAAATATTTGAAAGATTCTATATGAGAAGCTTAATGGTTTGGGTACTTCAAGACTACTTGAGAATCTTCCAAAAACTCTTTGATATCAGTTTATTTGGTTCAGTTGCCCTTTGGGACTACTTAACATGTTTTTTATTAAACACGCATTTAATTGCTTCTTTGAATCAGAGTAATATTCTCTACTGTTAACTGAGTAAGGACCAGCAGGAGGTAAGATTCAGTGTTAAAAGTTACTTCCAGGTTGCCTAAAATTTATAGCATTAGCAACATTATTGTTATGTCTTGATTGCCATGACTAGATTCTGGTTCTGTGGATTTAACGGTGTAGAAAGTGTATCACCACCTTTTCACCTTCCTTAATGAAGTGGAAAAATGAGGATAGTTACACGGTAGGGGTTGTGGAAGTCTTTAAGGCATGATTTCATGTCAGGTTTTTCAGAATTTTGAATCCCAGTAGCAGAGGAAATAGTAATGGAGTTCTGAGTATGGTGGGATAAAAATGCTGGTGTTCTGCTATTAGTATTAGACAAAATTGCAGACAGAAAAGGTGAAGGGGGAAAAGCATACTCAGATTGATGCTAACACTGTATGATTTAAGAACAAGTATGGCAATAAAACGAATGGGTTAAAGAGACCGAGCTAGGCCCTTGCAGGGTCTTCTGGGTAGGATTAATAGGACCTATGATGTGATCAAGAGCTGGCAGAAGCTAGTCAAAATCTGGCCAGGGGACGCAGAGTTTGACATGACTGGAAGCGTCTTGGGTACCTTTGCACAGGTTTTGCATACCATTGCCAGAACTGATGTGTTTCCCAGTTAGGCTGTATGTCTAGGAAGCAGAACAAAGAAAGCTACAGTGAAGTCCAAACCTTTAGTGCAAGAAATGGGAATAATGTATAAAACTTCCATAGGAGGTGGGGAAACATTTATGCTTAAGTAGGAAGAGGTGAGGATTCGTCACACTTCTTGCTGAAAATTGTTAGAAAAGTTAGAAATAAGAATATTCTGTGTCACAGAGATGAATGCAATCAAATATAGATTTGGATTGTAAGAAGGTAACTAAAACAATATAGTGGTTTGTCAGGAGCCTGAAAGGGTTACTGTGCTTGAACCTGAGCAATCTTTTATAATTAGAATGTTCTCTGTGAACTGAGAGAACTTTGCTGAGGAATTAGGAGAAAAGGAGAAGTTTGATTATTTGTTTTTGATTTTTGGTTTTTGATTTTCCCCTGTGGAAGAGAATTTTGTTTCTTTAGGTGTTTAGATAAAATAGGAAAACTAGTGTTGCTTGCAAAAGGGACATGTGATTCTGAGCCCGGTGTCTGGAGTTAGATAGCAGCATTTTGATATAATGCAAAGGTTGCAAATTGTCTGTTATCAGCTATAAAATTGATGAATTTGGTTAATTTTGAAAAAAACCCCTGTTGTTTAGTTGTAACAACATTTTATGGGCTTGTGGCTTTGGAATTTTAAGAATACCAATCTGAAGTTAAAATCATCAGCTGTTGTTACCCTGTCAATGTATAACATGGATTTCAGAGAAGTAGTTTGGTTAACTGTTTACCATCACGCTGAATTTGCTTGCAGCTGATAGTGTGATGTGCATTACCTGTGCATGTACCTGGCTTAGGAAGAATGGAACTCCAATTGCTTCACATTCTGTTTCTTATCACTGAGATGAGACTGATTGAGTGAATGTAAGAGGCTGCTGGTCTGATGACCATCTTGGTTGGCTCGGTAGTTTTTGCACAGTAAAGCAATGATTTGTTGGTTTTGATGTGATTCTTTAAAGTACACTGAGAAATAGTGTAGAAGCATTAATCTTAAAAACATATGTAAAAATGTTCAGAATCACAAGTTAATGGCTTTGATTTAATATTTATTACTTCTTTGTGGTTATCTTATTGCCGGAACCCTTGATTTGCTGAACTAGTATGTATTTCAGAAGGTCTTTTTGAATGATACTCAACAGATGTATGTATTGTGTTTTTCTGTGCTTGTAGTATGACTAGCTATCAACAGTGATTCTTCAGCTTGTATCTGTCTTTTCATAATATTTAACAAGTATGTCTTACTGAGCTAATAAAATGTAGTTAGCATCAACATTTCCCTTTTTGCCTGTTCATGGCTTTTTGTCTGTTTCTTTGCTTGTTACCCAAGAAACACTCCCTTTGTCTCTTAGTGATTGACCATTTAATGACCATGACATTTGCTTTAAAGAGCACTGGACTTGGCCTTAAGATATGAGAAATCAAACAAATGGTAGTGGCTCTTTGGTGATGTAGCTAAAAGAAAGCTGGGAACAAGATGATGTATATTTTTATGAAAGCTTTTAACTGCTCAAATTCTTACGTAAGCTAGCTGTTGAGCCTAAGAGTGAACACCTTTCTTCTCTGTCTTGGTCATCTAAGTTTGGGAGTTTTTTGTTTAATGTACAGTAGACCAAGAATCCAGCAAGAATCATGTCACTATAATTTGGCTGCTATGTGCACATGTATTAAGCTCAGTTTTCTAAGAAAGTGCATTAGGAACCAGCCCTGCAGTGTTCTGAGAGTGACTTTGGGACTCTAAATGTGCGACAGTATAAAGGTGGTCTGCCTCCATTCCTTAGCCCTTGTCTTAGCTGTGGGCAAAGACCAATGACAACAGTGGGAAGAAATAAAGGCTTAGGGAGTAGATGTTACCACAGACCCAAATGAAGGCTATGATGAAAACCACAAACTTGCACTGAATGTATTTTTTAGCTTTGTCATTTTAGATTAGCTAAATAAGTAGCAGTAGTCCAGTTAAATAATGGCCTGTCTTGTCTTTACAGGCTTATTGAGAACTCAGTTATTCAGGGTTTTTTTTTTGGTAATATTTACAAGTATTTACATGTTTATGTGTGCAAATGGAGCATGGGGGTGCCTATTACTACTAAATTGTAGTATCGTGTACTTTTGAAGGAAAAATGTTTTAGGAAGAGCCAAGTAAAACAAAGTATATAGCTTGTGCTTTTTGTTAGGCATAGACATTACTTGCTCATGTTTTACTTTATGGAGTTGTGTATTTAATGGCATACAATACGGGATATAATGTTACACATAGCATTTGTCTCCACTGGAGTGTGAAAGATGGCAAACACAGTTTAGATTAGTGTAGGTGCACTGATGTGTGTGTAATATGGAGTGGAGAACAGTCACATACACTTTGGAAGAAGTACAAATGGAGGGAAACACACTGCAGTTTTGTAAGACAGTGAAATTCTAGTTGAAATGGCAAACCTTGAGCATAGTCAAGCTGAAAGGTCTCTGTTTAATACCATTTGGAGTGGGTTGTTGGTAGGCATGTGTTTTGCTACAGTTCGGCTTGCAGAGGACTGACTTCTGTGGTGGTCTTCTTTCTATGCAGCTGCTTCAGTTGTAATAGAGTAAAAGTGTAAAATTGTCTTGTGTGTGCGAGAGCTTGTGGTAGAGGGATGTTTATTTCTGGTGTGAAATGAGGGCACTAGGTCCTTCACTTGTTTTTCTCAGTTGTCACAGGAGATGAATGAAATGTGTTCACAGTGTAGTAAAAGAAAAAATCTTTATGTTGATTTAGTTTAACCATGTAGATTTGGACTATGTTGTACAGCTGAGTATAAGTTTTCTCCTTTTTGAGCCATGTTTTTATAGAGAAGAATCAATCCAATGCTGTTGCAACATTACATTGAAACCAAAGCCTATTATGTCAGATATTAGAGCAGTTAAAGTCAATAATACATCCTAATTAAAACATACAGTGTATCTATGAAGTGCAGTAAATGTCTTAATAACAAAAGCAGAAATAAACCAGCTTTTGGCTAGTTTTCTCATTTCTGGCTGCAATAAACATTAAAAGTAAGATGAGGTTTATTCTGGTTTCTTTGTATTGTTAGTCAGTTGTTGCAGATACCATATGAAATTATTGTAAAATTAATTTATTGTAAGAACAGAGAGATTGCAAGATACATACAACTCTTTAAATTAAAGAAAGTCTATTTATTGAAGTATTTTAAACTCTAATTGTAATGATTTTACAGGGGCAAGTAACCCTCTTATTTCGCTGCATTTGCTATAAGAAAAATTATAGATGTTTAATGCTCATATTTTTCTGTTGAAC